AGTGCCCCGGCCGGCTCCGGCGGGCGCGCCGCGGCCGCAGGCGGAGCCCGCCGAGCAACTCTTCGCCCCACCCAACGGTGCAGACTCTCGTGAGAACCAGCCACCTGTCGCGGGCAGCGGCAGCCGCCCGAATCTCAAGATTTCCCACTCCGGCCGCCTCCAAGAGAAGCGGAAACCTCGCGCCACCCTGCTGGTCGACAGCCCGCAAAAGCTGTTCGAAGGTGGGGGCGGAGGCGGCGCTGCCTCCGGTAGCTCCGCGCCTGCGCGACCCAGCGAAGAGACTCGGTGCCAATAACCGGCGCTCTCCCGCCCAGCCCTGGTTGACTGCCACTTGCTGGGGGGAGGAGAGGAGCAGGGCCTGCTTTACCCGGGAGCTGCTGCTTGGTTCGTTCCGCTGCTCGGAGGACGGCGCAGGCCCCTTTTCCTCGCCCTCCCTCCAGCCCGGAATTGGTTTTGCTCCGTGGACAGGGAGGCTCGGCGCTGCTGAGGTATTTATTCCCAAAGTAGTTTGGAAAGCGTCCCCTCTTGCCGGCGGAGCGGAGGGTTCTCCATCTTAGTCGGAGACTTGCCCTTCTCTTTCACGGAGCCCGTCTCGTGGGCGACAGGATGGTGTAAGGCGAGACCAGCGAATGACACAATGGAGCATACAGGCGTCGGTCCCAGTTCTTGTGGTTACAGTCTCATGAAATTAAAGCGTACAGGGGGCAATATGCCCTATGAAATTGTCACTGTGAATTATTTACTTCACTTTCTTTTGCAGGAAGCGTTCTAGTTCCAGTTGCATCTATGCATGAAACAGTAGGTGAAATATCACCTCCATTAAAAAAAAAAAACCCTGTCCAGTAGCCACCCTCTAATTAGTTTATATTTCGAGATTACAGATTGTTAAGAGTTGTTAACACGGTGCCAAATGTGGGCATAGATACTCTCTTGGTCCCTGGTTGCTTCCCTGCTCAGCTTTTTTCACTTTATGTCAGGCTCACCATGGCAATCATTTTGTGAATTGGCACATCCCCTCTTCTTCCCCTTTCAGTGATGATATAGAGTGATATACTTGGGCATTTAGGCTATCAAGTCTGCCCTCTCAATCTAGAAATCCAACTTGATGCATCTCTGACAATATGACTCTTTGACCACTGCTTGAACACATCGAAGGAAGAGAAACCACTCTCTGGATAATTGCAAATATTTCAAATGCATCCATCCCCTAAAAAAATTGGGGATCCCTGACGCAATTATCCAAAATGAGAAATACCAGCATAAAGTTAAAGCCCATCAATGAGTTTTGACCATCCTGGATACAACTGTATAAATATTTAGACTTTTACACAAATCTCTTCTGGTTCCAATTGCAGTGCATCTGGAGTCCAATGGATAAGTTAATGTTATGATTATTATTTCTTTGAAGATACCACAAAGGATTAGAGGCAGTCTTGGTGAAGTTGACTAGAACATCTCAAATAGTTTGGAGGCATATGGTTTAAAATAAGATTTGGGGAATCTCATGTTATGTGCTCCAGTTTTGAAAGATTTTGGAACAAAAGCTAAGGGCCTAGAGTGCTTCCAGATAAAGTTTTTATGATACAATTGCTCAACGACATTCATGGTATCTTATAGGAAGACCAGATGCTATTGGCTGGGTTCACATACTGTGCTAAACCACAACATGATTTGTTTAGTCTGAACTTAGAATGTGTGAACACAACCACAGTATTTTATAAACCATGGTTTATGGCTTAGTTTGATGTATAAGCCAGCCTGGAATAGCTAATTCAATAAACTATGGTTAAAAAATTAAGGCTTAGCATAATGTCCACCCATTGCCTTCCACGTGTAGTCTTACCATTTGCCCAATATTTTTTCTGGGTTTTGGTTTGCTTAGTTTTTCTTATTACAGAAAAAGCCCCTCAATATTCAGGCATCTATATATATTTAAAATCTGAAGTGCTGCTATTTGTGAGACCTGCAACAACAGTAATTCCAGAGCAGCTTTTGCAACTAATAACTTTTTTAAAACAGAGATTTTATTAAAATCTTCAATTGCAGCAAAAAAAAAAAAAAAATCATCTAATTTTCCCCAGAGAATCTGTATTATTTTCTTTCTTTATGTTGTGGAGGCTTTTTTATTGGTCTGTAGACTTTTAATAGCAGAGTTTTTAGAAGACGAAGAAGAAACGCTGAGTCTTGTTTTATTTCAGGGCCAAAACTTTCTGGTAGCACCTGCAGATTCTTAACAATCATGTTCCTGTTGGTAGAAATAATAGTAACTGAATCTCTCTGCTATTCAGTGGAATATAAAAGGAAGGAGTAGATTATAGCTAGAAAGTACTGTACTGCATTTCTTGCTCCCACATTTATTCACTTCAAGAAAGCAAAAAGTAGAAGCATAACTTTTATTTTGCTTCTGATAATTAGAAGCAGCTGCTTCTGGTTGAATGTTAGAATGATATTTGTAGTTATTCTTCTTAAGAGTACAACATGATTCATTTTAGTAGTACAGTATAATTTTCAAGTACTGATTGCCATTCTAGAGACACTGAACTTAAAGGACTTGGGCTAAATCCCAGTGGATGAAGAGGACTAAACTAAATATGGCTGCTTAATTCAGTGCAAATTCTCTTACATCTCTAAATTCTCAGTTGCCTATTGAGGCAGTTTTTTAGATTTCCTTTGATAATCCTAAATTTAATATCTGATTCTGAAATGCACCATTACTATGGCACATTGACAATCTTAGAGGATATATAAAACCCACATTTCATTTGGGTCATTCAGTATATAAAAACTTGCTTTAATGACCAATAAACCTCCTGTTGTTGGGTTTCTAAACAACGCCTTGAGTGAATAATGCACAACTCTAACTCTGATAGAACAAATATTTCATTAATTCAAGAATGAGGTATGGTGTGGTGTGAGAATTACAGTAAAAGCACAAGATTTAAAAAATATTTTTTTAGTAATATACAGATTTATTTCAGCATTTGCCCTTCTGTTTATAGGACCAATAATATTAAGCAAAGCCATTTTTTTCAGCTCTGTACAAAATGACTCATGGTTAAAACTGTCAAATAGCTCTAACATGCATGCCTCATAAGAAGCACTATATAACTTAATATTAAAATAAAATTAGTGTCTTGACAGGTAGTGGCACCCAGCCGATCACGTCTGTCTTAGAAGCTAAATAGAATCAGTCCAGTTTATTACTTGAGTGGAACACTTCCAGGAGATCTCAGGGCTGAAAGGCTAGACCAGAAGGTCAACAAAACAATCTTGCAAGAAGGCCCAGATAAACTGCTTCCATATTGCTGTCAAATAAGTTACATGGGCACCTCTTGAAATGACAAGGAGTTAATAACACTTTGAAGAAGACTTTAATATAACAAGATTTCTAAATGTGATTCAACAAATAGTAACTTTATAGGGCCAAGTAACCAAAGACATGTGGGTAAATGGGCATCAGCTTTCAATAAAAATTATATTTTGTAGAAACTGGGAGATGGAGAAAGAAAGAATATGCTGGCCCTTAGCCAGTGTGTCTAGTGGTGAGGAATACTGGATAGAACAAGTAAAAATGTTCAAGTATCTTGGGGTTATATTGCAAGTCAGTGAAAGAACAGTCTAAGTTGGAGATTTCCAACTTGGTCCAAAGAACTACTGCAATTTTACAATGTCATTATCCAGAAAGTAACAAGTACTTGCTTATAGTTATACAACATCCAATCAAAGGCCTTAAGCACTTTATTTAGGGTGCCTCCTGGCCCATACTCTAAGTTTAGACCGTTTTAATCTGTATGTTCTAGATTTCATAGTTCTATATTCAGTACTCCTAAGGGTTTCTAATGCAGTGCTTAGGCTGGTTAGAACAGAAACAAAAATCTGGACGGAACATAGAATTTTGTTTTGTTACCTAGCTTCAGGACTTCAGCAGGGGATCCAGAGTGAAAAATAAGCCTGAATATTTAATAAATGGCTCAAACTAGATTATTATTCATTAGGATGTGCCACTTTAAGTGATATGTTTAAATCTTCCTGGAAGAAGTACCTCAAGCAGAAACTGATTTCATGTGGCCTTTCCCAGACTGCTTTATTGAACCTTGGCTGGTCTTGGGCAAAAAAAAAATAATAATCCATGATTGTCCAGCAATTCCTAGAAATTGAGTTAAGTATAATCTGAACCTAATCCTGGAGAAGGTCTATCTATGTGGTCACTAAGAATCACACTGACTTGATGGCACATAATAATTGAAACCAAATACCCATCTTCTGCAAGATACCAACAACTTTTAATAGAAGAAGTATGGTTCCTACCTTCATATACTGATACACCAAAAATACCAGTGAGGCTTTACTAGGGCAGTGCTCTCCCATTACTGCTGTATCACAGTGCTCCCATAGCACATTGTCTCTGTCCATGTAGCACAGAAGAAGTTGAATCAATCACCCATGTTCTTTGATACTGTAGATTTTAATTTGACAGTCTTCCAAAATCTTATTCTCCCTCTTTTAACAGAAATCTCCAGCTATGACTTCCATGTTGATTTCCTTCTTCCAGACATGGTCTTTTATGTAGAACGTAGGAGGTTCCCTAGCTTCAAGACTGCAGCAGGAGATCTAGAGGGAAAATAACCCTAAATACTATACATAATTATATGATGTTTGGTTTTTTGTTTGTTTGTTTGGGCTTCTTCTTGCTTTTGTATTTGTTTGCTGACTAATGGCCTTAATAAATTGAAGTTGAATTGAGGAATGCTAGGAACAGTAATGAGGGAGTCACAGATATCCCATCTCTAATGTAAATCGTAGTGGGAGTACTTTAAGTCCTAACTGGGATTGCTAATGTGTGTTTCAAGAGTTGGTGGAAAATGCTCAGTGCATGGCCAACCTTCATGCTATTGCTGTTCCTTGCATTCCCTGTGGTTTCCTTTGGTTTCCACTGGCAGTGATCATAAATGTATGCTCTAAGTCAGTGTTGTCCAAACTTGGCCACTTTAAGATGAGTGGACTTCAACTCCCAGAATTCCCCA